TAGGATGAGCTGGCAGAATTCCCCATGCAAAGCACACATTTCTAAGATGCTCACTTGCCAGAGATTTTTCTGCCCAGCTCATCCTATCAGCCCCTTCTGAACACGTTCCAGGTATCGGAAGCGGCAGGAGTTCCTTTGTTTAGCTAACACTAACCCTACCCTGGATTTCCTCAGTAACCCTAAAATCTGGCAGAATTCCCCATGCAACACACCCGTTTCCAAGATGCTCACTTGCCGGAGATTTTTTTGCCCAGCTCATCCTATCAGCCCCTTCTGAACACGTTCCAGGTCTTGGAAGCGGCAGGAGTTCCTTCGTTTTGCTAACACTAACCCTACCCTGGATTTCCCCAGTAACCCAAAAATCTGGCAAAATTCCCCATGCAACACACCCACTTCTAAGATGCTCACTTGCCGGAGATTTTTCTGCCCAGCTCATCCTATCAGCACCTTCTCAACACAGTCCAGGTCTCAGAAGCGGCAGGAGTTCCTTCATTTTGCTAACCCTAACCCTACCCTGGATTTCCCCAGTAACCCCAAAATCTGGCAGAATTCCCCATGCAAAGCACACATTTCTAAGATGCTCACTTGCCGGAGATTTTTCTGCCCAGCTCATCCTATCAGCCCCTCCTGAACACGTTCCAGGTCTCGGAAGCGGCAGGAGTTCCTTCGTTTAGCTAACACTAACCCTACCCTGGATTTCCCCAGTAACCCTAAAATCTGGCAGAATTCCCCATGCAGCACAGCCATTTCCCTGGAACTCCAGTTCCCCTTAACTCTTCTCAGTTGCTGAGGGAGAGCGAAGCCTCAGCAGTGCGTGGACACCCTTGGGTGGAAGCAGCTGGTATTTCAGTGCAATTTCTGGGCTATTATGTTGTGGTCCCTCTGGACCAGCTTCGTCCTGCCTGAGGCAGTGGAGCTTGCTTCCTCATCCACCTGCATGGCATCCTTCCTCAGCATGGTGCCTTGGGATTCCCCTTCCCTTCAGCTCCAGCCAGCATGGTTACAGAATAGAAGGATGGGAGCTATAGTCCAAAACTCCAGTTGGAGAAGGTGGTTGTATGAAATGCTTGCATTACGTGCCTCCTGCTTGCATAGCCTTTCCTGTGGCATGGATTAAGTCTCAGTATTTGGAATGTCCAGCCCATGGATGCCCACAGATTGCCAGCTGGCATGGCTTTTTGCCCCATCACATTTCCAGTGTCTGTCCACTGACGTATGTTAACATGTTCAGAAAAAGTATCTATGAAGGCTCAGTGGAGCTCAACCCATCCCAGAGAAGTAGCAGTAAGAAATGGGGGGGGGGGAGTTGTCCACCATCCTGTCTCAAGACAAGTCCAGCCCTGTCACAAGGGGAAATGCTCAGTGCCATCTGAAGCTGAATTAGAAAGCAAGAGCCATGCAGGAGATGCTTGGCATGGAAATACGTACGCAGCAGTCCCCACCCACAGACCTTTGACTGCCGGTCCTCCAAATCCCATCTGATGACCAGTGCTGGCATCACTTGTGCCTGTCTCTGATCTTCAGGGCCATGGAGGTGACCAGGAGAAAGGCCTCTGGATGTACAGGTAGGATTACTGTGTCTTCATTTTGAAGCAGAGCTTCTCTTGGGCAGAATTCACTGTGTCAGAATGCATTCTTCACATCCCAAAAGGTTAATTTGCTTTTCCATGAATGACATGATTGTAAATGGTGACTTAATTCCTCCCCCGACCCACCTGCCCCACAGAAGAGTTCTGACCTTTGATTCATGTATATTTTCCAGAGCCAAGCTTCCCTGTTTATGCCTCAAGCAAGGATGTCACAAGCCATCTTAGCCAGCGCCGCAGTTAACAAGGAAAGCAGGTGGTGAGGGGAGGAAAGCCAACAGCCAAGTCTTTGCGGGAGGAAGGCAGCTTCGTGCTTCTCTTCCCAACACTACACCCACTTCGCCCTGAGGTTATGGGGAGCCAAGCACGCCAAGAGCATGTTCGGAATGGGTGCTCAGGAAAATGCTTTGTCCTCATCCTCACCCTGGGACGAGGGCGGGACGGGAGTCTGGCACGTTGACGCTTGCCTCTGAAACCACCCGGAGCCGGAGAGAGCTGCTCGGCGGCGGCAGCAGCAAAAGCACCTTGCCACATTGGCTCAGCTCTCCGTGGCCCCAGCGGGCGCAAGCGGGAGTGACGTTCACTCGCTTCCTCTGTTTAGAAAAGAGAAGGTTGAGCAGCACAAATGAGTGGCCCATCGCAGGTGCACACCTGTAGCTGAATGAAAGGGGGGGGCTCACCTGGCCAATGTCCTGGACAGGTAAATGCCCGCAGGTAAAGTGCAGTGGGCAGCTTTGCACGGACTTAACAGCCCTCACCTGTCAAAAGAATGGTTCTTTTCTTTCAACCTAGATAGCAAATCTGAGCTTTTGGTGGTGGGGACATATAGCCATGGAATTTGCTTATATTTACTGGTCAAAAAAGGTTTTTTTCAGGTTTGCTGGGTAGGCTGAAAGAAAAGGACTTAGTGGGGAGTGGATAAAAAGGGATAGTGAAAGAGCACAGAGGGGAAATCAAAAGTCTCTAGGAGAGCGGCTGGAGGACTGGCAGGGAAAGAGAAGGGAAACAACCCACCATCTTCTGTGTGGCTCATTCAGGATACGAACGGCCAAGCAGTGCGAACCCATCCATCACTTCTGTGACCAGCAAGGCTCTTCCGGGGTCTAACAGCAGGGCCAGAGA